CTCCGGCAACGTCGCTACGGTTCAGGACATCATCTTCACCCCATTCACCAAGGCGCGGGTTGATGGTGTGGACCGGCCGTACCTGGAATGGGAAGACCGATATTTTCTTTGTAGACCCCGAGTGAAGGTGAGCGCTGGCGGTTACATCAAGTAACTCGACAAGGATATCCTCCCTACATGTGGTCGCCCGTACCTTCTTGGAGACCTTGTGCTGCTACAGGTTTGGGTGCCACCACAGGGAATCGAAGGGTTTTGGAAAAACTCTCACCTATTTCGAATGGAAGGGCGTTTCGTACCTGATGAAGATGTAATATTAAAATATGTCCCCTTACCTGAACCCACTCAATTACCTAGTTCGGGCGGAGCTCAACAGGGTGGTCTACAGTGGCGGAGAAATCAACGATCTCGCTCAACTCCGGTACCCACTCACTTTTGCGCGGCCGAATCTCTCGATGGCGCTCCTCCAGAAGCTGTGGCGGAGTATCATTATAGTATTTAATGTGCTCTTTAATGTGGTTAAAAATGTCCGATAAAAGTTTAATAAAGTGCAACTTATAGCGCCTTAAAAGTCATGGAGGAAGAATGACTTTTTTTGGCCCCCCTGTATATGTGTGTGTCACGAAATTCATAGCGCCTTTCCCAGTAACAGTGATATTTTGGTTCCAAGATATAATGTAGGGGTGTGACGGGAACACTATTGATGGGTGACAGGAAGTGATATCAGTTGATAAGATCCGATAAGAGGCGTTAGAAGGACAAGATGACCATATTCACTACGCGGGTGACAGCATCAGCTAGTTCTCAATTCCGAGATATGGTGTAGAGCATAGGCCAAGAACATTGTTTTTGGGCGACAAGAACTGCGAGCTGCTGGTAAGATTCGATAGGGCTTCAGAAGGGAAAGGTCACCATATTCATAACGCGGGTGACAGCCTCAGCGAGGCGTTCATTTCAGCAAATGATATCAAGGGTGAGATGGGGATAACAACCGTGGGTGGCTGGAAGCGATAACAACTGATAAGGGCTGATAAGAGACGTTCAGTCGTCCACACTGTTAAAGGCGGTGCAGCTTTTACATCACCAAATTATAAGGATTTAGTGATAAAGATATTGGTGACGGGTGGCAGGTAATCATATCATTCAATAAGAATGGATAAGATATAATATCATCTGCGCTACATTTTTATCACTATTTACAGCTTTATTGCCGAGTATTAGAGGCTCAGTGTGTGAAAACTTTCCTTTGATATGTTCGATGTAGATAGAGCGTTGTAAATGCGTATAATAGTGTTGAGCGGGGGAGGGGGGGGAGGTATATAGTGCGGATGAAACGGGAAGATCGAGTATATAGTGCAGCTGGAACGGAAAAATCGAGAAATTCATATCAATCAAAAAATTCATATCAATCAAAAAATTTTCGGAAATCTGCTGTTCTGTTATGTGCAACGATGTGTTAGGTGGTGACGTTCGCAACTGAAGCAAAATAAGGAAGGAACCCAATAACTGCGAGCGGGGGCGTCCCATCGGTGGTGACATTCGAGCTCTTCGTGTTTCTTCGTGGAGCTACGTTGACATGTACGAAGCGATGTGAAGTTCTCCTTCTCAGTGCCACCCAAGATGCCGCGTTGATGGGCCTACTCCCCAGTTGTTAAGGACTCATCCGGACTAATTCAACGTTACCCATTCTGACGTCACAACTGCCATCCTTGATGATATGGCTCAGCCTTCTCACGGTTGAAAGTGTAGTAACCAAGAGGGACTATATGTTGGTAGATAATGACTGATGTTCGGCTTTTTCAACTCATTTTCCTAAATTTAAAAAAATAACCGCCACCGTTTCGCACATTTAGCGCATTCTACCACGCCCGAGGGGAGAGTGCCTGGCGAAGCCAGGTCGGCCCGGCAATGCCGGGCCGTGAAACAGAAGGAGGAGCACCCGGCGGCAGCCGGGTGATCCGACTGGTTTACTTATATTACCCTTCTTTGAAGTGAGTTTTTATTTGATGCTAAACTGCTGTTTTTCAGACAAATGGTCACCCGCGTTGCAGATTCGTACTGTCTTGTTGTCGATTCAAGCTCTTCTCTCTGCGCCTAATCCTGAGGTGGGTTTGGAAATATTCGTCCATTTAATAGTGTTTCTCTATCGTTCGAGATACCTCTGCGGGAGAGCTCTGTTCGGCAGGTTTGAAAGGGAGGGGGTCGTTTTCGAAGACGTCTGTATTCAACTGCGACTACGGAAGTGCAGGATCGGGGTTAAAAGCGGTGCTGTTGAAATAGCAGTATGAAGGACTATCTAGTGAAAACTTGTTAATCTGCATTCATACCTTCCGACGACGTCGGCGATGTTGAAGTAACCGACGTTTCCGACGTATCCGACGTTTTTCGGCGACATTCGCGAAGTTGAAATAGTAATCGACGTAAACCGATGTAACGGGCGTAATCGACGTAACTGACGTCAGTCGATACGTATCTAATCTTCTGTCCCCTTTTACGTTGATTATCGATCGTCGTATCGTATCTAATCTTTAGTCGCCCATTACGTCGGTTATTACGTCCGTTAGTCGATTAGGTCGACTACGTCGATCATGGCGATTAGTCTCATTGCGTTGGTTTCGTCGACGTCGGCAACGTCGTCGGAAGCTATGAACGCAACCTTATGTTATATCAGTTTCATTGCCTCCTTCTGTGACCTAGCTTCGCTGTGCTTCCCTTCATTCATTATGTTCGGTACACTGTTAATACCTAACCACCTCACCTGTACCCCTGCACAGCGCTCCTTGTTACTTTAACACGTTGACGACATGCGCGTTTTTACTTTTTGGCCGCGTGGGACACGCGCGTTTTTTCAAACGCAACCAGCGCGGTACACACATAGTTCAGACGATCCCAACAGGCGCTTTTTTGGAAATTGGATCGGAAAACTGGATTAATTATCAGTTATGAAGTAAGTTAATACTTCAGTATAGAAAAAACCTGGCTGGCTAACTCTCGTTGCACTAAATGCCGGAAATTCGTCCGCAACCAATGTTTTCATAAAAAAAAGGTGTCGTGCCCTCTATAGCGTTCAGAATCCTTCACCCTATTTTTTACCATTATCAGCATTGTATCGATCAGCATTTCTCAGCTAAGTGTTGGAGAGCAAACCATTCCAGAGTTGAAGAGCAAATCAGTCCGAGCAAATGGTGATCTTTACCCAAAAAGTATTTGCTAAACTAGTGTGTGCTGAATTATTCCATGGACTGCGCATAGTACAAGTACATCAGGGTCTGAACTATACATTGATTAAGAGAAACTAACTAAAAACCATAGCACTGTTACAAAGATATGGATTGTGATCGTGAGTTGTATAGTATGCACACCCTGTTCACATGGCTCAAGCGTGCATTCAATGTGTCTCACGCTGTCGTCAATGTGTTAAGCACCTACTATTTTTTGTGGTCGTAGTAAAGAGCGTTGCTCGAGTGATAGAGATATAGTAGGCATTAACCGTGTATTCCAACATAACGGAAGAAAAAATGTCTACCCAATGAAGTCATGCCACAGAAGGAGGAACGCGTCCCCGGCGATTGGCGACGACTGGCATCATGTATTTTTATGGCAATCAACGATGGTTGATAAGAAGCGATGATGAGGGTCGATAAGATGAATAAACCGTTTCTTCCTAGAGTGCGCTGAAGACGAGTTATAGGTTCTTTACTTTACTCCGCTCACGACGTGTGTTCCCCATTTCACCCATCTCTCCGTGCGAACCTCGACCTCGTCCGTACCCGGTCCCTGGCGTGCTTTGAAACTGCACTGCTATCTTTCAGCACCCCATACTGAACAGCTTCCTCGCACCGTGGGCGAGTCTTAACACACCACAGACTCGCCAAACTCTCACCAGATGTTCTTCTTCTCCAACGATTTTTTTTGCGCTCTCCAAACTCTCAGTAACGAGTTATGGAATATTATGGCAAGCAATGATGAGTACAACACAACACAACATTACAGGAGTGCCTCCCCCGTTGCACCGGTCAACATTTGCTAATCCTAATCCACTTTTCCCGTCTCTCTTCAAATTCCCGCGGCATCGCTCATTTCGGCGGCCCTCCTTTGTGCGCAGGGCTTAATACAGTTCATGTGTGCTCTACATCTTGCCTCGCCTTTACCCGTATTTACCGTAACCCGACCTCTGCAAGTTTTTCTGTTGGAAGAATCAGATTTCCGGGTATACAGACAAACAAACAATGAACAGGAGTAGCAAACTGTTGTACAGTAGAATGAAGCTGAGTGAAGATCGCGTGCTTGGGGCGCCTAGGGCTGAGTCCATCAATCCGTCCTTGCATCAATGCACTTTACGCCTTGCCGGGGACTTGTTCTGGAGGCATTCCATGGGTTCGAGAAGTTGTGTTAAATGAAACAGGAACTGATTTCATGAAAAATTAAGAAGCGCGAATCTCGTAGTTTCAGACAATTTTTACACATTTCTCATAAAGGTACTGTGTGAACAAAGTTGCATCCTCTTACATGTTACTCAAAGAGTCCTCGTTCCCGGGGAAAAGTACTAGTCGACGGATTCTTCCTTATAGTGAACTTTCATTAAAGATCTTATGCAACTTAAAATGCATGATATGGAGGCTCGCCTTTCCTGTCGCCACGCGGATCTTTTGACAGCTCGGAGATAAGCCTCAAACTTGGGTAATTAAAATTCATCTTTATATATAGACATATACAAGTTTTAGATATGTGAGTTGAGTTATTGATGGACGAGTTAGATGAGTGGATGAAAGGTGGCAGTACGAATTCGTCGTAGACCGTGCTCTGTCCAGCGATCACTCTTTCTGCTGTCGTACGTAGCGTTCGGGTCCAATAAAGGATCCCGGTGAGCTCGAACTTTGTTGTGATTGTTCCTCACGTAGTCACACATTGTTGACGTATCTGTGCTCGTGTAAAGCTGAATCGGAGTGTCGAGATTGCTCCTGCTGGATGACACGGCACTGTGAAGGTGGCGTTGTCGCAGGTTAGATCGTGCATATCGTGTCTGTGACTTCCTTCTCGGTGGTATCGAAGTCTTCCTTGATGGTCAGAAGCAGTTCTGCCGTGGACAGACTGGACACGATTGCGCGGACTGTAGCATCTCGTGGCCCTTTGGCCATGCTCTCGAAAGCAATCCATGATCTTCGTATGGGAGGTCTTCGCCGTGCATCAGTGAAGATTTCAGTGACGTTCTGGTCGACACAGACGCAATTGACGGTGTCTTCTGCTGGTTGGCAGTTGCAGATGGGCTGAACGTCACATGCCAGAGCTTCCGCCTCCCTGTTCGAAGTGCACTGTAGTGGCGGCAGCTGACTTTCATCCCACAGAGCTACCTCCTGTCCGGCGGCTATGAAAGTCGTGTTCAACACTGGTGAGGGTGGTACCGTAAGCGAACTGAGTGTGAGCTTCATGGTTGGTGTTTGTACTGGTATAGTCGGTCGGAGATGCCTGGTTTCGTTCACGGTGGTCTTCTTATCCGTTGTCACTGTTATGTGAAGAACGACTTCCTCTCTCCAGCGTGGGCAGCTGAATATCTCAAAGATTTCGGTGCTCTCAGGTTTCATGAGGACGCGGCAGAATAGGCATCCGCTGCTGAGGTAGAAACATCCGCAGCGTGGTCCTCCGCAACTCTCAACGCAGTGTGTCACCCCGGGGAAGAGTTTGGCTTCCATCAGGTCCGGAAGAAGGGTCGTGTTGATCCCTGCGCATATAGTGTCCACGCAGCTGCCGATATGGGAGCATCGTTTGGAACATAGCACGTGTTGCTTTGCAGCTCGTTTATACGTGATAGGGTGCTTGTCGCAAATGAGTTGAAGTGTCTTCCATTCCAAGCGGTTCTCCTTCAGCATTCGACTTGTTGGTAATGTGGAAGCACGCTTCCTTGTTGAACGTGTTGAGCTTCACGATCTCTGTGACGTCGACCGTGCAGTTTTGCCTGTGATGCAGACTTCGTGCAGGTGGTCATTCTGTGCTCGAATATATCGACATCTTGGCATGCTCTTGTACCCTGGAGTGCACAAGTGACAATGAGGAGAATCGGTACAAATCCTGTTGATCGTGACGCTGATGCCCCCCATGTCTTGCTTGTTGACTTGTCGATGCCCTTTGAGTTGGTCGTTGACGGACGAACTTTACGGCTGCCTTGATGGCTGTTCTCATGATCCATCTTGCGACGCAGAAGAATATTCTGACGGGGTTACCCAGCACGACTGGTACGTAGCATAATGTGTACAGGAACGCTATCAGTGCATACAGCAGAACCGCCATGCTAATGAAAGCGGTACGCGGTTGGCATGCAGGGTTGAAGACATTTGCCGTGCAAAACCAGCAGTCCACTTGCGGGCAGAACGGCATGGCTGGACAGGTCGTTTCCACACGTCTTCATTCTCGTTCCGTTGGTCACTTTCCAGTGGACTTCATGTTCATGGAGGGTGATCTCTGGAGGAAGCCTTATTAGTTCTGACTCCGGTGGGTTGTCACGGGTGATGCAGGATCCTTCAGAACATAATTCGTACGACTTCATCCCTGAGGTTTTGATAAGCATTCCCTCCGGTGTGCATTGTATCGACGCGGTGGATGTACCGAGGCCGACCCTTATGCGGGGATGGATTGTGTGCGTATGTACCGATCCTAGCAATCCGATTGTACAGATTATCGTGATGAGTGTTCCATGACGGAGTAAGTCATAGCGAAGGCGCGGATGTCTCCAGAGGTTGTAGCGGTCGCATACTTACGGGAGGGGTCATCTCCTTTTCTCGAACGTCTTGTTGCTCAGCGCTTGTCTGAGATGCGACTTCCGGAGGTGTTTCCACTTCTAGTCCAACGTCATTCGCCGTCGTGGAGCTGGGTGGTACTATTTCGGTTCCATTGTCGAGTTCTCTTTGCTGATCGTCTAACTCTAGCGGAACGAGCAGGTTGATCGTGCGCCGTGGAGTCGTTTGGTCAGCAAGATAAGCTCGACCTCACGTACGACACCTTCCTTGTTGGAGTGGACCTCTGTGATACGGCCCATTCTCCAAGTGTTGCGTAGGTTGGGGTCCATGAGTAGCACCCCGCTCCTGGTGTTGGAGTTTTCGGTGAGCCATGGTTGCCGGCTAGGTAGCGAGTATGCTGTTCCCTGAGCGCGGTAAGGTATTCCTCCCTCCAAATTTCCCAGAATTTCTCCGTGAATTGGTACGAGCTACGTAGGGCTTCCTCTGCTTGACACCGGGTACGTAGCTGAAGAGTTTCTTTGGCTGCATAATAGTCCGGATCTTCATTCACGTCCGCAATTCCATCCATCGGGTATGTGATGATCATATCTCGTTGAACGAAGTCAATCGAACGAAGAGTCGGTCTATCACTCCAGTGTTCTTCTTGGTACGTTACAGGACGTGTGTTCAATGTCTCTTCGATCTCCGTGAGCAGCGTGGTAAGTCCTTCGGAATTGTCGGCATTTACCTATGGTTTTCCACGGAGCGTAAGGGGTAATCATCTGCCATGCAATTCCTTTCGTTGCCATCGTCGCAGCCATCGTTGAGTAATGTGCTATAGGAGTTGCTGCGTCGCTATGAATCTGGTCTCCTAACAGGAAGTAACGTGCATTTTCTGACTTAGTAGCTGCACCCTGACATGTCCTCCACGCATTCCAAGTGAATGAGAGGATTTGTTGTGCACGTGATGATGATACCCTTTAGCCTTTCCTTCTCCTTCTCTGGATTTTACCACTATTGGCCCGAAGTAGTCGATGCCGACGTGTTGGAACGGTCGACTTCTTGTGACTCTTCGTGGTGGCAGGTAATGCCGGATATCGGTACGGCAGATTATTCATCCGCTGACTTGGGACGCATCGCCGTAGGACTTACTGGACTTGCCGTCGAAGCTGTGGAATCAATAACTGGTCAGCACTTCGGCCATGGTATGAGCCGTTCCAAGGTGGAGATGCTTGTGGGCGTCTTGAATGACTAACGTGGCTAGTGATGTCTGCGGCCCCAATAGGATGGGCTGTTTGCTCTCTTCGGGTAGGTCGGAATTCAGCAAACGACCTCTGCGCCGTATGATACCTTCGTAATCTGGTACCGGTATCAAGCGATCTTTCACTGGTGGAGTTCTGCCTTCTACGTATACGCGTTGATGGTTGCGTATGAGAAGGGAAAGAGCCTGTTGACGTTCCGAAATGGTGATGAACTCGTCCTCGAAACGATTTCGCAGTTGTGGAATGTGTTCCCATATGAAGTCTCGTAGATCGGAAGAATAACGTTTCCAGTCCACGACCTCTGTCACGGGAGTGTGTGGCACCGTTGCCATGAGGTTTGTGGTGGTCTGTTGAAGCTCTGCCGTTGACCCTAGAAACGACTCGCCTGAGCCATCTCAAGGCATACGAAAAGACGGATGTGGCTTGAGCAACGGAAGAATAACGTTTCCAGTCCACGACTTCTGTCACGGGAGTGTGTGTCGCCGTTGCCATGAGGTTTGTGGTGGTCTGTTGAAGCTCTGCCGTTGATTCTTTACCGTCGTCTCGGAATTCGGAAGTGAGAGGCCAGTGCTCTCGATCCTGATCATTTGTGAGGAATTATGGTCCATTCCACCAGAAGTGTCTTCCGAATTCGTCTGTGGTGAGTCCCCGCGTCGCACAGTCCGCAGGGTTCACCTCTGTGCCGACATGTCAAAATTTCACTTCAACTCCTTCGTGCTTGATATCGTTATATATGGCAGGTACCTTGCAACGGTTTCAGACCAGTGTGCCGGCATTCCGATCCATGTCCGATACGCTAACCAAGCGAGCGCTATCTCGGAGTCTGAATACACCGTAACAGTTTGAATGTGGAGTTGACGTTGTAACGCACGCAGCGTGGTGTTCACGAGACGAGCTGCCATTGTCAGTGCGTTCATCTCGAGTTTCGGAATGGTAGGATTATCCTTGGTTGATGGAAGTTTCGACTTGGCGAAGAGCAATACCGAGCTTCCCTTGTGGACAAGATAGACGCAGGCCGCCATGGCAGCTTTACGCGACGAGATGGGCTGGTGATGCTGTTGCTCTGTCGCTTGCTTGTCTCGATATGCTTCTGGAAAATCCTTGGATGTGTGAGAGAATTCGCTTCCATTCAGCTTGGTGCTGGACAGACAGGTGTTGATCCCATTTGTGATCGTATTTCCAAAGACTCTGTAGAAACAGTTTTGCATGTAACGTCAATGTAGTCATCCATCCGAGCGGGTCGTACAACGACGCCACTTGTTCTGAGGCAGTACATTTGGTGACAACCGACTTCTCTGGATAACCGCATTCGAGATCGATCGTATCCTTTTCCGAGTTCCACTTCAAGCCTAGGACTTTCGGCTTTAATGACGTGCTCAGCTTATCCTGTGGGGAACGTTCATTGACTTCAGCAGAGTTGGTACGAAATTCACGCAGGTTCATATTGAGCTGCGCAAAGATTCGTCGAGCTTCATGACAGCGTTGCAGAGCTTCCTCTGTTGTGGCCGCCGCCATTAGGAGGCTGTCTACGTACACGTTATCCTTGATTAGAGCTGCCATTTCTTGATCCTCTGTACGGTCCAAGTGTTCCGCTATGGTGGCTCCTAATAGGAACGGCGAACAGTTCAACGAATGTGACGCGTGTGAAGCGAAAGGTGATGAGGTTTCTGGAGTCCAACTTTTTGGACATATCACGTAGCCATAGGCACCGTGTCGCATCTCGGTCACGAAGTTGTAGGTGAACCTGTAGAAAGCCCTTTTCTACATCACTGATAGTGGCATATTTCCTACACGAGTGCGGAGTAGCATACCGATCAGTGAGGTAGGATTACCGGCCCTTGATGAAGTTTGTCGTTCAGACACGGAGAGTTCTTGTAGTGTGCGGAACCATCGAAGACGACACGAAGTTTGGTGGTGTCTTTGTGAGGGGTTATTACCGCCTGGTGTGCCAGGTAGTGCACTGCGTTGCCATCCGGTTTTGCGTTTTCGTCCACCTCCTTAATCACTTCTTTGGCAAGTTGATCTTGGAAAGTGTTGTGATATTGCAGCAGCAACTCTGGTTGGTGTTGGAACTTCGATTGGATGTCTTGAGCCTATTGTGGGCAATCACCCGATTGTCGGAAAGGTTTTGGCATCATCCTTCCATGGTAACCGGACGTGGTAGCCGCATCGTGCTTCTCCACTGTGGCTCGGAATTGCTGCCAAACTTTGTCGTTTATGGCTTGAATTTCTTGCTTGTGGGGACCTGTATATTCGTCGATCCCTGACGACTCCAGGCTCTAGTACTGTTACCATTTCTCTCGCTCTTGGATGTCGTCGTCGGCTTGACACTGCAGCGTGTGAAGCCTCACGGTCGAATTGAGGGAACGGTGTTATTCCTGCCCGTAACGAGATATCCTAGTCTTGAATGTAGCAGCTTCAGCCCTGATGGAAGATCGTGTTTGTATTCGATCCTTGTATCGAATAGTGTGAATAGGTCACCGCAGCCGAGCATAACATTCAGCTGTCCATCTCACCACAGATTGAGTTGTGCAGCAACTCAATCTGTGGTGAGATGGACAGCTGAATGTTATGCTCTTGCAAATACTGACGATCCTTTTCCTGGAGCAGGCTCCGTTTGACGTCTCCTGTTATGAAGTCGATCTTGGCTAGTTCGAAGTTATGACGACGCCTTGACGGTCTTCGATTTCAACTTGAGCTTTGTCGCAAGATTGTTGTGTTGGAGAGCTGTCACCAAACGTGTGCATCGTTAATTGCAGTTGACCCGTTTTTGAGAGTCCTAGGTGCTCCGCATAGGCGTTTGTGATGAACGACTGGTCTGCACCTGTGTCCAGAATAAGATGAGTGTCTTCGAGTTTTTGTGTCCTGACGTTCCACACCCGGGCCTGTCCTACG